GGAATAATTTGTTTATATATTTTTCAGATTGCTTCAATATGGAAGTCGTGCTTATTGGTATTATGCTCAAAACATTGGCGTAACACAACATTCTGCAGAAGTTATAAGAAGTTTGGAATATACCTTAAGTTCATTTAGAAAATGTATTTTTTAGTCAATGTTAAAGATTTTAGAGCAATTTGTACAGTTATTTATGTTATAAATTTCTGATTTGTTTTAGTATTACGTCTTGGACGATGTTTGGATAGCATACATGCTGGTCTAAAAATCATGAAACATCCAGATACTGTTTTAAGGGTCATTTTAGTAGCATCAAAAATTGCTAATGCTCTATTTCTACTCACAGACCACATAATTTGGATTGGTCGTGTAGGATTGCACAAAGTGAATATAGAAAAGTGGACTAAAACATCTAATAAATGTTGGTTATTAAGTATTATTATGAATCTCATACGAGATATTCATGAGATTGTTAAAATTTTGGGGCATGAGGGAAAAAATGCATTTTTGAATACATCAAAGATTTCATTAAATACTTGGAAACAATATGAAATGTTCATTCCAATAAGAAATCATAAAGAAGTTGTAATGGATACAGTTAAAAATGGATGTGATTTACTAATTCCATTAACAGCATTAGGTTACACTAAACTTACTCCTGGTACAATAGGTTTATGCGGTGTTATATCTTCACTTGTAGGTCTTTATACAATAGTTTATCCATTATATAAATTGACACCATCTTAAAACGCATTCGCACATTCTACTTTGTTCTTTTTTTTAGAATGAATGAAAAGCAAATTATATCAGTAATTAAATAATATTTTTATACCAATTGTACAGTAGTTTATGCATTAAAATGCATACTATATACTTTTTACAAAAGTTTTCACTTTGATACTTACAGGTTTTAGGAACTTTGAAATTGTTGAAAAAACAAATAATGATAAAAGTAAAAAGTTGATTTTGCGCAAGGGTTGAGGATAATGAAGAATGCTTGTACACATAATTGATTTTGTTATATTTTTATGAGAATATATTTTATTAAAAAGAGATTTATCGACTTTTATGTTTTAACAGTGTATAAAAAATCTAGTATATAAAAAATCTGTTCGCTCTTATCAGTACAACAAATCTTGGGTATTACTTTCAGTCAATATTGGTGCTTGCTGTTCCTGAATAATCAGCTCAAATTTGTGAGAATGATATGTTAATATAATACCCCATTTACCACATATCATCGCATAAATGGCTGTTATCGATGTACTTGTAGAAAGTGGTTCAATTGCTGAAACGTAAATCTCGTGTACAATTTTTCTATGATCTGTTTTTCGTAGAAAGATATCTCAAGTATGTATATAATCACAATAGCTGTCCATCCCACTATTATTACTTCAATCTTGTAATGTAGGAGTAAAATGGACAACTATTGCGGCTATGAGCATACTTAAAGTGTTTTCTCTCAACCATAGTAAAACTCAGAATAAAGTAATAAACTTACGAATATTATAATAAAATGTAACAAAGAGGTACCAAATCATCGCTGTGAAACCACAAAGGGCAGTTGAAAAGCCAATATAATTTAGAACATCTAATGTAGTTTTCGAGTGCCATCTTACTAAAGTTCCTTTCCCTTTGACCCAATGTAAATGAAAACATACTGCAGCTACAATACCTGTGTAATGCATTATTAATTTAAATGTATGTTTTTGTTAATATTGAAAATTAGAATTCGGTATTGTGCTATGAAATTAAACCAGAAACAATCAGTTTTAGCTGTCAAACAATAAAAATTGATAATACAAATTGGAAGAGAGAAAATTAACAGCCAATTGTTTTATTTTATATACAACAATAGTATACAAATTTTGATTGTCTCAGATACAATTGAATGATTTGTGGATTTAGTTATGATTTTTGTATCATCAAAGATTATAGTGTCAGTAATTATTGTTTTAAAAGAGGTGCTAACCTGATAGGATTGACCAAAATCCAACCTCATGGTTTCCGTGAATAACGAAAAAAAAGATACAGGCTGATACTCCTATAAACACACCGATACCACATATTATTAAATGTATCAAAATGTTTTTTGACATTTTGCAATTGTTGGTTTCACTGTTCGCGAATCAGATGCATGAGCCGCACTATGCTCGTATTTATGTTATGCAAAAACTATTCTTTTTAGTACATTACGAAGCCATGTTTAAAGTTACGTAGCTCAATAACTGTTTCTGATAAAAGTAAATTATTATATATGATATTTTTAAATTGTATAAGGTTTTCAATCAGCAAATAATAACTGACATTTTGTCAAATTTCAATAAGCTTTTTAATTTTCTACTTTTTAATAAATTATGAAATGAATCCAAAAATTAGAGATTTATTGCGTACAGTATGATATGAGTAAACTTTTTTCTAATTTAATTAAAAATGATGTTATAAAAATTCAAATTTTTATGAGGCATATGTGTAATCGCAGATAAAATATTTTGGCTGGAAGGTAAAGAAAGTTCTCATTATTTTGTAAGAGACTTATCTTACAAGTTCAAAATGTTTCGACTAAATTATGGAAAATTCTGAACAGATGGCACTAATGAACATTTCTAAATTGAGATACTTATTAGCATTCAGATACTTCTATCTAAACTTGTGTCAAATAAGTTGTATGCATGTAGAGTACATTACAGCAACAGCTGGCAGTAGTTATCGTATTATAGTTGACCGATAATACCTATTATTTAGATTACGATCTTTTCACTGTGGATGTACAATTATGGCTCGAGTAATAACTAAATCATCAATT